GCCATTTCTATTATTACCAGACTAGGTTAAGTTTCTCGAGCATTCAATTTTATCCTTTACGTATTATAACAAACACAATAAGTGCAAGGTTTTAATCAGTGATGCCACTTTGGAAATTTTTTTTTTATGATATTGATAAAAATATCTTAATTTGCATACCACAAGTTGTTTCATTTCAACAAGCGTTGTCCCCGTGGAACACTTAAAATGTGAGATAAGGACTGTTAAACGTTTTACCATAAAATTGTACAATTAAATTCGGAAAGAAAAAAAGGAACTTTCGAAGATGTAGTATCCAATCAATTTGCACCATTAACAATATCATATATAACAAACAACAACCACTACATACCATAGAAATTGTAAATAGCAAGAATACTTGTGCAAAAAAGAAATAAACGTTTATATTATTGCGTTTGACCTTTTGTAAACTTGTATTATACGATTTTGTCACTATTTAAATTCAGCCAAAAACCGAAGTGTTTCATAATAAAGTTTAATGCAAGAATGAAAAACTATTTAAAATATGAGTGAGTTTTGCTTAGTTGTTGATAAGAACAAAGCTACTCAATGCTGTTCTCACCGCAGGTACCAAAACCCAATTTTTACCTTGATAAGCCATCAGACTTACCCCGGAATTTAGCGTTGTAAATCCGTAAACTTACCGCTCACCCATCGGGGGACGGGGGCAATGTGTGAGTGATTTTAATTACTAAGTACTCTCAATTAGGTGCCTTAAAAGAGAATTGTTTTCTATTTAAATATGTATGATGTTTAGTTTAATATTTAAATCAGTTGGATTGTAACTTATCAACTCTTTTTGTTTTATTCCCGTACAGATATAATAACATTCGGCGTCAACTGCAAGAAATCTGACAAAAATAATAAAAGTCGTTGAGGAGTAAGAGATGAAAAATCGCTCACTTGTGGAAAGACGTTACTATTTCCGCCAGGAGTCGCCTTGCTAGGTGATGCAAAGTTCACCTGGGCGTTGAAGTCATGAACCTGGACGCTGAAAACAGGGTAGTGTTAAACGTCGGCGGTATTCGCCATGAAACCTATAAGGCCACTCTAAAGAAAATCCCAGCTACTCGATTGTCCAGACTCACTGAAGCATTGGCCAACTATGACCCGGTCCTCAACGAATATTTCTTCGACCGTCATCCGGGTGTTTTTGGTCAGGTCCTAAATTATTACAGAACAGGTAAGCTTCATTATCCTACTGACGTTTGTGGCCCCCTATTTGAAGAGGAACTCGAGTTCTGGGGACTTGACTCCAACCAAGTGGAACCTTGTTGTTGGATGACCTATACCCAGCATCGAGACACACAAGAAACCTTGGCAGTTTTGGACCGTCTAGATTTGGACACAGAAAAGCCAAGTGACGAAGAGATTGCCCGAAAGTTTGGCATGGAGGAGGATTATCTGAACGGCACTCTGAACTGTTGGCAACGTCTAAAACCCAAAATGTGGTCGTTATTCGATGAGCCTTACTCTTCTAATGCTGCCAAGGTAAAAACCAATTACAAAATTTAGCATGGTTGATATTAGTTACCACAACTAGCACGCTTAATATTATGTGGTATGATTAGCATGATTGTTATATCTTATCTAAAGTATATCATGGTTAATGCTACTAACCATGATGTGTTGGCATTGTTAAAATGCTTGACCAACTCTGCGTTCAATAATGTTCCTTTCTCTGTAATTGCCTTAATATTGAATAAGCCCAGTTTTCTTTTGTTCATAGTTCGAAATAATCATCCTAAGACTTAAATGCAAAACAACAAAGAAATTAAATGCAGAATGATACTGAATTAGCTGAAAACCTAGAAAATAAAGGACATGAATGAGTTTGATGTTATTAACTTCAAGGTTATTCGCAAGATTGAACTAGATATAATTATGTGTATTCAATATATGTTTCTGGCTACCAAAGAAAGAATGGTTATTTTTATACATTTTAATTACTTTTAACTGCCCCTCAGTGGCACAGCGGCATGTCTGCAGACTTACAACGCTAAAAACCGAGTTCCGATACCCGTGGTGGGCATAGCCCATTGTGTAGCTTTGTGCTTAATTTCAAAAACAAACAAATACTTTTAACGCCATTGTAATTTTTATTATGACACTTAATTTTTTCAGTCATTGAGTAGATCAATCAAACAAAATTTTCGCTTCAAGAGTTATGTAAGTTAAACTTTAATAATTACAATATCTATGTTTACATTTCGTTAATACCTATATTTGAGTAAAATGAAACAAATTAGAATATTTTAATGTCTAAAATTGCAAAAAAAACGTTTAGTTTTAAACAACCTAATGTGCCTTCAATTTGCATAGGCGAGATTATAAATGTTTGTTTGTTTGCTTGTTTGTTTTTGCGCTGTACATAAGGGGTTATCTGCCCTATGTCCGTCACATGGATCGAACCTCTAAAATCAGCGTTATACGCTATCGTTTTTACCATTAAGCCACCTGAGGCCAAAAATAAATGGGAAACTAGACAAAAAAAAATTTTATAATACCAGACTTTTAATTTACTACTTTACACTAAAATCTAGTGAAGTCGCAAATTTTATGAATCATATTTGTTAAAGAAACGAACAGTACCTTTCTCCTTACTGAACTTTAGGGTAATTATCGTTTAAAAGTGCAAACTTGGCGGAGAAAATTACTTTATAATTCACCTGATTCAACTTTTTGATTTTTCTCTTACTTGCCAATTTTACAGACTTAAAAACTTTAAGAATTTCCTTCTTATTACACCTGTGCTTAGTCTAAAACATTTGAATATATATATATATATATATATAACGACTTATCAGTACGCTTGTTTGTTTGAAGTTAAGCACAAAGCTACACAATGGTCTATCTGTGCTCTGCCCACCACGGGTATCGAAACCCGTTTTCTAGTGTTGTAATTCCGCAGACATACCGCTGTGCTACTGGGGGCTATCAGTACGCATACAGAAGCTTTACAAATTTTAAACATAAAAATGTTTTAACTAATGCATTTAGAGCAAAGCCACAGTTATCAAAATATTGTTACAAGGTCATTCAACCTTCAAGTAGTAAATGTCCAATAAAATCACAAAGCTTATGAAGTTAAAGCGGTTAAGTATCAATGCAATGTGTGTAGAGATCTTTGTGTTGGTGCTCCTGTGATGAAGTGTCACACGAACTGACGTTTCACGTAATGTCCATTTGATCATTCCTAACGTAGTTAAGTCAGATTCTCACTAGCAATCAGTTAATCTCAATATACAGGAGAAAACCGAAGATTTGTGACAGCAGTATTTCAAAAACTTAGTAATTCGCTTGAGCTGAAATAAATAAAACATTTCATATGTCGTAAATCAAGATATAAATCGTTCTTTGAAACTATACTGCTCTTAAAGAAACAGATAAACAGAAAACAATCTGGTATAAATTGATAACATGATTATGCAAGACCTATCTTAAAGAAACAGATAAACAGAAAACAATCTGGTATAAATTGATAACATGATTATGCAAGACCTATCTTAAAGAAACAGATAAACAGAAAACAATCTGGTATAAATTGATAACATGATTATGCAAGACCTGGGTTACATAAAAATAAATATACTATAAATGTTCCAGTTGAAATTGTAATATTCGTGTTAGCGTCAAAAAATTATTTGTTAATATTAACAGATTGTTGGTGTTATGTCGGTGTTCTTCATCTGCGTGTCCATCCTGTCTTTCTGCCTGAAGACTCATCCCAACATGAGGGTTCCAGTCATCAGGAACGTTACCGTGTGGACTTCTCAACATACTAAGGCATGGACATTAGACAAATTCCAGACCAATCCTCACCTAGCCTTCTTCTACGTTGAGTGTGTGTGCAATGCCTGGTTTACCTTTGAGATCACAATCCGTTTCATCGCCTGCCCTAGCAAGCTTGACTTCATTCGCTGTGCCGTCAACATTATCGACTTTACGGCTACTCTCTCCTTCTACATTGACTTGGTGCTCCAGAAGTTTGCGTCCCATCTAGAGAACGCTGATATCTTGGAGTTTTTCAGTATCATTCGGATCATGCGGCTCTTCAAGCTGACTCGTCACTCTGCAGGATTGAAGATCTTGATCCAAACTTTCAAGGCCAGCGCTGGGGAACTCATTCTTCTGGTTTTCTTCCTGGTTCTAGGAATAGTGATCTTCGCTAGTTTGGTGTATTACGCCGAACGCATCGAGTCTAATCCAGAAAACGACTTTAACAGCATTCCCCTCGGACTGTGGTGGGCATTGGTCACTATGACTACAGTGGGATATGGGGACATGACTCCCAAGACTTATACTGGCATGTTTGTCGGCGCCCTCTGTGCTCTGGCTGGCGTACTAACGATTGCGCTTCCAGTTCCTGTCATAGTGTCCAACTTTGCTATGTTCTATTCCCATACCCAAGCACGCGCTAAACTACCAAAGAAGCGGAGGCGTGTGCTTCCTGTAGAACAACCGCGAGGGCCTCGTGTCAGGGGTCAGGGACCTGGTGGCGACGGACAACCAAACAGAAGAATGAATGCTATGAAACAGAATCACCCTAAGGATATGTTGAGACCGAAGATAGGTAAATATACATTATTTTTTGAAGCTTTATAAATGATAAGAACAAAATATAGCTGTAACCTTTTTTTTTCTATTCAGTGTGTATTAGTTCCAAAATAGAAATAGTCAAATATTTTAAACTACAGGCAATTTATTTTGTCAAGAGCATTTTATACTATCTAATGAGCATGGGGATTAAAATTTTAAGTATTACAGTATGTGGCATGTAATATAAAATTAACCCAAAGTAATATTTGAATAGTGTAAGATGAACTTATTTTTAAAAATAGTAATATATAGTGGCTTATTTATACGAGGTGTAAGGATTAGCTTTTTAAACAACAACTTAAACTAAATTACAAATTTCGTTTCAACTACTACGCTTACATAAAATGGTCTGCTTTTACTATTTCGAATTCTTAGCGAACGCCTAGAACGTCGCAGTCCAAGTCTGATCAAAATGTCACGGAAAGGCAAACCTTTCTCATCTAATTACAGTTGCTATTCTGAGAGGAGACTATGGCAAAAAATGATTCTTTTTTGCTTGACCGATCTTGTAAAATAGACATTGTGAAATTTCTATTATGAAACAGTGTTATTTTATTTCGTTACTGGAAACTTTTTTGCTCCACAAAGTTAAGATAGCTGAGACCAATATGGATTATGTTAATACTGTTTGAACCACGAGTGCAAATTAAGCCTATCACAGTCGGCTAGGTTCTTACTAAATTTTAAATGCTGACCACCATACGATTTTACAAGCCAAAAGCGAGACCCTCTAGTAATGGATAAAATGATGTATTGAAGTAAAAATAATGTTTCACTTTGAACATTAAGGTGAATCAGCAGTTAATCTGAACTCAAGCATCTGTCTTTAAGTTTTAATACTTACTGACATTTTACAGTTTGAAAACCTTTCGGAGTTTTTTTTTTTTTCTAATTTCCAGAATCCAAACCTTCCCGAAATTAAAACTTTACAACTTTGTCAAATCATTTATTATTGATAGAAGATGACGGTAAAAAACTATATTATTTAATATATCCATATCACTATACATGTGATTGACTCGCAAATATGGTATAATCCGCAAATATATATATATATATATATATATATAATAATATGTTCTTTTAATTAATTTTTAGTTTATTCGAATCACCATGAGCGAGAGGTGTTAAAATATTAGTATCTTGATCATTGAGAATCACAGTATCCAGATAGCAATCCTACTTTGCAAAATTATTTACCACGTGGGTCAGTCAGAGTTATGTACTCTACTGAGTTGTTTACCACGTGGGTCAGTCAGAGTCATACTACTCTGCTGAGTTGTTTACCACATGGGTTACTCAGAGTTATACAAGCATTGTGTATGTGAGAACATTGACAGGATTACAAGCGAGTCAATTCATATTTAACCGAAATTAATTTACTATGATTCGCATTAAAATTAAAAGAAAAGAAAACAGAATTTCTTTCTTTTACAAAAAATACTTAATTGTGCCTGGATTCGAGCCTTGTACATGCTCTTGCACTAAAACGTGTTTGGTATGTTCCATCTGTTGGGTTTATACTGTTTTATAGATTAACTCAATAAAAATCGGTTTAGTCTCATTGCTACAGCAAGCATATTAAGCAGTTCCTGTTGGATTTGCTAAAGAAAACCATGCATCCTGTGTAGCTAAGTGTTAATGTGTTGTAGAGCTTTCGGATTACTTCGTTAATCAATCAAAAAAAAAAAAGAGGTCCCATATGTTAAACAATATTTGCTTACACAGCGTCCTCTATTAGCGAATTTATGAAGTTGAACGTAGTGTGTGTGTGTATATGTGTAAAACATCGACTTCTTCCTTCTGCCACCCACCGTCTGGCAGAAAGTTAAGTGAGGGTAAGTCGCTCTTAATCGTTACATCTGTATGCAAATTTTCCGAAGTTCATGCAATTTTTGCTTGAAACGATTTTTGTTTCACTTTACATTTCTCTATTTTAAATGTTCTTTGTACGACCTAAATCATTAAAGAATTCGACTTTGTAATCACTCAAAAAATGAATAAATTCCTTATGCAGAATTTCTGACAACACGAATACTTTCTCTCTTATTAAGAACGTGAACAGCAGCTGTAGGCAGGTATGTTAACTGAAGAAGTTACCCATTTGAACACATTTATCTTTAACAGTTTTAATAAGCAATAAAAAAAACGGTATGTTTTAAAAGCTAACGCTTTCCTTGTGTTATGTGTTTGTTGGTGAGGATTTAATGGACCCTTTAAAATTTAAAACCGCCAAAAAATGAAGAATATTTGCAGCTCCTGAAAATGTGCATTACTAAAGATTCAACAAAAAACTCCAACTCTGAAAATGCGTAGATACTGAGTGGAAATTAATTATTAAATTAAAGGTTATTTCCTATCAGTAATTTGAATGCGGCCTAACAAACATCCCGTGTGTTATCAATACGTTCCTAATAATTCTTGCTTGAGTGTCTAAACCTTACATCCCCTTCTTCTACCATTGATGGTGTTCTTTGTTATGGTTACAGTAGTTATGGACTATTGCTCTGTAGCATAATTTTAATCGCAGAGCTATTTTGCGCAATACAGAGAAATAAATATATATTCTCCTTTTCTTTACGTGCTTTCCAAAGTCCATTTGATATGCTCGGACGCCGACTTCCAAGGTTTTGTTTGAGCAACTCAAAGGAAATGAAGTCCATGGGAGGTATCTGCGAATGTTATAGCATTAATTCTATTTTGTTCTTGCATCTTGGCTTGGAATTCTAGCTGGATACTTTATCTTATTGACATGTAGACCGTACAAAGTACAAAGATAGTATTTCCTCACGTTTTATTGATGTTAGCCTGATAATACGTAAAGTTCACATTAGCATTTGTTTCAACTTTCCATATGTTTAACTTACCATTATAGCTGTACAGCTGCAACTTGCAACAAGCAGGAATTGCGTTGAAAAACATTTCCGACATGCTCTGTATAACTCTTTATTTGTGGTACTACGAGCAGGACGATAACAAACTGTCCAGACTTTTGTAGATACTTAAGAAGACGTATGTCTCGTCCAATGTGACGACATGCTTCCATTTCTCACGTGCCAGTTACCGTTCGTACAGCCTTCGATAGTTGGACTGCTGCATGGTTTCGGAAAAGTTTTTTTGTTGACCTGAATCCATGTGAAGTATCTAATGTACATCTTAGAAGAAAACTACTCTTGTAGCTGCAATAGATGGCTATTTTTTGAGGTTATTTCCATTAACCAACTATTTAACTTTATTCAGTACCTCCAGTGAGCGACTGTTTTGTTGTTCTTTTTTCGCCTTCCCTTGCTTTACTGATACGATTCAAAACTATAGAGATCCCTTTCTTCAGAACGCTAAAATTTCAATCTTTCTTGGTTTTATGATTGCTAAATAAAAGAATTTTGCGTCGAAAAGTCCTGTAATATAACCTTTCTAGAAGGGGTCAGTTTAAAGTAGGAATTTACTCTTACAAATCACCATTTTTCACTACATTTACAACAAAAGGGTTGGGCTTTGAATACGTACACTTACAGGCTACTGGAATGATCAGGAACAAGATGATTGGACATACATATCGTTACCATTAACCGTAAATAATCCACTATATCAGTCTTAAACTTGGGTTACTAACACCAAAGTATGTTAGATGTAAGCACTAGCTTTTTATGGCGAAAGTAAAAACTTGAACTATATACATACCAATGGTAACAAAGGTGATATGCTGATATGTTGTATTCAGAAAACTACGAAATTGATTTTTTCAAAGTATTGTTCCTATTCCTCTTTTTTATATATATACTTACTTTCACACCTTATTTGTCCCCTTCTATAGCTGAAAATATTCATATATTATTCTAGCAATTTCTATTTGTCTACTTTTCTTTATTTTTTCGAAAATAGTTCATTGCAAAAAAAAAACATATTTTTACACCGATAAATTTTATATGATTTTTCACATTGGTCCAGCAAACTTTAACAAATATTTGTTTTAAACATATTAAAACAAACAAGGCATGGAATGGGAATACCGATGAAAAATCAAAACATTATGTGTTTGTTCATGAAATGGAGTTTTTTATCTAGTTTCCTATTCTAGCGGGTTCCATAGCAATGAATATCGAACAAGTACAAGGCACAACCGCCTGCTGACACACGGGGAATTAAACTCGTAAATAAAATGATGTAGTCCTAAGCTGGGAAACAGCCAAATGGAGTGTTTGCGTGCTCAACATTCACTTTCCAATCTATCCTACAACCGTAGAATAAAGGAAAGCTCGCCAAGAGCTCCTTGGAAAGAAAGCAAATTGTAAGCGTTTTGTTTATATATAACTATATACTAATCATGCAAACACGCATGTTCGTGCAGGTCTACTGTTTCATTAAGGAATAATTTTTTAGTGCTCTGCAGAAACAAGTCTACTGTTCCGAATACACCCGAATATCAAAACGAAGCACATTCGCATGTGTAATAAATTTAAATAATTTTATCCCCAACATAGGACAATAAGGACAGACCTTTTGAGAATAATTAAATATTAAAGTCCAGAAAATCCCATAGAGAGGAACATGTAAAAATAGATAGCCAGAAATCGGCGAATGATTGTTGATGTATATAATATAAGATATAATGATTTGCATGGCAGGTAAACAGAATATAAGATTGATCAAAGAAAATAAAACCTATTGATGACATAATCAAAGTGAATTACTTTCATAACATAACAAAACGAAATAATTATAGCTAATACTAAATAGGCGAGTGCGCTTTCAGTTAGATCTTATAAATTGTAAGATACTATGATCAAAACTATCAACTAAATCAGTAAGTTCACGAGAACAATATTAAGAAAAACATCATAAGGGAACCACGAAAGACGTTAGATCGGCTAGTATGCACTAAAGATTGTTTACTGCTCCTACAATCCTTAAAATGGTTTACACAACTCAGTGAATATCCATAACGTTATTTTCGTCATGATAATGAAAACACGT